ATCCATCCATCCATCCATCCATCTATCTATCTATCTAAAGACATTGATCAGCTGAGATTTTAACCGTCCCTCTGATCTGATGCCAGCTCAGCACTTTTTCCATTTGACCATACATCATGGCATTCTTGTGACTGAAATCAACCCTGACACTACATCAGTTCCAACCAGTCTGCACCTATTCTTAACCTCTTTTGTGCCCCGTTCATTACTCTAGAGCAGGAGATTAATGGACAGAGCAAGAATGAAAAAAAAAAAAATCATTAGCTATCTGCTGTCTGTTAGCTGATGTGGACCTGCATTGAATTGACTTTGGCAGCAGTAGCCCTCAGCTCATTTCACTTTTTTGGCCAGGCAACCACTTTGTATTCCAACTAGGATGACGTACTCTCAATTACCCACATCTTCAAAAAAAAAAAAAAAAAAAAAACCCCAAAAAAAACAACAAATTAAATTGATTTATTGGAGGCGGTGTAAAATGAATATCTGATAATAATATATAGAACACTGTAGCAGAGTGGTGCAGCCCATAGGCCCATAACCCAGAGGTTTGATGAGATCAAAACCATCCTGCTTCCATAGTGTTGTGGTTAGCAGTCCTGCCTCAAAAGCAGGGAGTACTGGGTTTGATTCCCAAAGGAACCACATATTTGGCACCTGCCAAGTCAGCCTGTTGGGGAAATTCTTGTTCTAACAGCGGACATGCTACGTATCTGCAGCTAAAACACGAAAATCCCAAATTGGGATCAATGAAGAACAATACATATATAAATGCACATTGAGTTTGCTTTGTGCATGAAACACGTGCTCCATGAATAAATTGATCGATTGATTGACTTACCATTGTCCCAACACTATATGTTGAGTGGTGATAGGGGTCCGCTGTTGCATAGAGTCTGCCGTAGCTGCAAGATGGAAGACAGAGAGGAAACGATAAGACAAACAAGAGTGCTTATTTGCCAACATGCAAACTGAATTTCAACTCTCTACTTAATGCTCTCGTGGGATGTGGAGAGTAATAACAAAACTGGTTTTACAATGCAGTCAGTTAATGCTGTCTAAAGGAGTGGTCTCTAAATATACCAGCTACTTATACAGTATGTCAAATGTCTCTGTTGCAGTCCTATACTCCGATAATATTGGCCACCCCGGTAGTATTTCACTTTTGCTCAAAGGTTGTTTTTTTTTTCACTCAAAGCTCACTATCTTTTTAGATCCTTGCATGAAACCAGGGGTCGTGAGTTCAATTATCATTGGGGCCTTGTAACCGGGCTTGTGATAGTGATAGTTTCCTTTGTCAGCAGTTGAAATGTAATTGTTTATTTTTTGTTTTGATCGTTTAGTTCAATTGTGGTCTGTTCATTGGTCCCTGATTATAGATGAAGGATGACCTACCGAAAAAATTTGGTCCATCAAAAAAAGTCAGTAATTAAACCTGCGGTGCATCGCAGTTTGTGTGTACCTGTATGTACGGGTGAACAAAGTTTGGGAAAGTTTCGTTCGTTACGTTTTTTGCCATATTTTACACTCTACAATGCCTCCTAAAGGGTTCTAAAAGAGTTATTATATACAGAGATAATATGATTGCTATCGTGTCTGTACTTTGAGGTTTTTCGCCTATCGCTGGTGGTCTTAGAACGTAACCGCCCCGATAGATGAGGGACTAGTGTAAATATTAAAAAACAAACTTAACAAAAAAAAGAAATCCATCAAAATTAACTTCAACACAATCAGACCACAAACCTATAAGAGAGCAGTATAGATAGATAGATAGATAGATAGATAGATAGATGGATGATGGATAGATAAATAGATGGATGGATGGATGATGGATGGATGGATGATAGATAGATAGATAGATAGATAGATGGATGATGGATAGATAAATAGATGGATGGATGGATGATGGATGGATGGATGATAGATAGATAGATAGATAGATAGATGGATGATGGATAGATAAATAGATGGATGGATGGATGATGGATGGATGGATGATAGATAGATAGATAGATAGATAGATGGATGATGGATAGATAAATAGATGGATGGATGGATGATGGATGGATGGATGATAGATAGATAGATAGATAGATAGATAGACAGATAGATAGATAGATAGATAGATAGATAGGTAGATAGATAGATAGACAGATAGATAGATAGATAGATAGATAGACAGATAGATAGATAGACAGACAGATAGATAGATAGATAGATAGATAGATGGATGATGGATAGATAAATAGATGGATGGATGGATGATGGATGGATGGATGATAGATAGATAGATAGATAGATAGATCGATCGATAGATCGATAGATCGATAGATAGATAGACTTTATTAATCCCTTGGGAGTTCCCTTCGGGAAATTAAGGTCTATACGAGACCTTTGAAAAATACATGGAGTAGTTCATCACATTTAAACGGTGTGGCTTGGAAACTCACCAATCACTGTAACCAGGAGTAGTAGGTTGGGCAAATCTGTAAGCTGCATATCCACCCTGTACATAAACAAGAACAAAAAAGGAGGATCGGTAATTAAGAAGATTTTTTAGGGTTATTTGCTGCCACTCTTCTTTCATGTAAGTTGTGCTCTTTTAACAAAGTTATACCCAGGTTTTTGTACTGAGAACAACCAGTGCAGAAAGATAAAAATATTAATAATATCAGTAATAAAAGTGTTGGCTTCAAGAGTCTCATGGTTTAACTCAATGAAGATTTTTAGGCTTTGAAGGCTTTTTGCACTCAAAGCTACAACGAATGGTTCAAACCAGTGGTTCCCAACCTTTTTTGGCCGGTGACCTCATTTTGACGTCACAAATTTTTTTCTGATCACATTTGATATACCCTATTAAGTCACACTTCTTTTCATCCTTTGGCTGGGTTTGCGACTTATACTCAGGTGCGACTTATATATTAAAATATTTAGAGATAGGTGGTGTGTGTATTTGTTTAATTGATGTCGTCCGGGCCAAAACATTCTTGATATTGTCATCTGTGGTGAGAATAGGGAGCAGGTGGACGAAAACCTGGAGAGGTGGATGAGTTTAAATGGACCATGGATCCAGATAACGCAGAGTACACAAAAGAGATGACGAAAAGGGTGCATTGGGTCAGGGGTGATTTGTGACAGAATGATATCAATAATATCAAAGAGCAATAGCGTCAAAGTTGAAAGGGTAGGGTTTATTAGAAAATAGTGAGACTTGCTTTCAAGGCAAGATGGTGAATATGTCGGACAAAGTGTGTTGGAGATGAAATTGCGATACACTTGTTTTTTTTATGTCTCACCTGTTCAGGAAAGAAAAAAAAATATAACAAACTCTACTCACGTAGATTTCGGTACCATAGAAGCCATCTTGATAAGCTACCCTAAGAAAATAATTTTTAAAAAAGCATTAGTTCACTTATTACATCTCCAAATTAAGAATAAACCTGTGAATCCTGTATGTTCATTTCTCAGAACAACATTGTCTAAATTCAACATTTTCATGGTGGGGTTCATTTGCAGACATGTTTTTCGAACTATGAATAGTCAACATTAAGTCAACAGATTCACATCTTGAATCTGGGAGATTCAGAGCTTGTGGCCAAAAATTTTCTTCTCTTATCAACATTTTAAAATGCTTAATAAGACATGACTATAAAAACCACATGCTTAGAAATAAAACTATATATTACTTACCCTCCATATGCTGGGAAAGGTGGCGTTGCAGTCATACGGAATGAATTGTACCCAGATCGCCCACGACCTTGTAAGTGCGCTCCCCTGAAAGCCATTTCTGCTCCTGTGGCAGGATAGGCAAACCCTGTTACTGTGGAGAAAAAAAAACATGACAAAAGAAATTAGACAAAAATAACACATAAATCCTTGGTTTTCCTCACCTCCTAGCTGAAAGTCTAAAAGCCCTTAAAGGCTTTCTTATAAAGGCAGCATGCTCAAATCAAAAAGATTTGAGCAACTATCCAGCCTGCCTTACATATCTGCCTTACATGGAGAAGAAGGTCCTGGGTTCAAGCCCAGAGGAACCACAATCCTTCTCCTATCACGGTAGTTGTGTTGAAAGACTCACCAGGAAAAATCGGCGTAGAGATAGTTACAATTATATTCACTGAAGAGATGTATAATAGCGACGCAGAGCGAAGTGAACAAGAGAGTGGCCGACAGACAAGGGGAGATGCTGAGGGAAGCTACGATGCATGAGCCAATCAGCGTGAGGAACAGAAGAGCACGCTCAATAAGCTAATAGTACACCGAGTACGCACTGAATTAGCCAATAGTATGCTGCAGAGGTGTGGACTCGAGTCTCATGACTTGGACTCGAGTCAGACTCGAGTCATCAATTTGATGATTTTAGACTCAACTTGACAAAATAGAAAGAGACTTGCCACTCGACTTGGACTTTAACATCAGTGACTCGTGACTTCACTTGGACTCGAGCATGACTCGAGACTATCTCCAAAACCCAAAGTGATCTGTGTAAATATATTGTTATTTTGTTTGAAAAGGACTAGAAAGGACTCGAAACAGAAACGGCAGGACTTGGGACTTGACTTGACACTTTTCAGTCTTGACTTGAGACTTGACTCGGACTTGAGTGCAAAGACTTGAGACTTACTTGTGACTTGCAAAGCAATGACTTGGTCCCACCTCTGGTATGCTGTGTATGACCACGTCTAGGTAAACAAATCTACTAGTGATCGTTTGCAAATGTGCTTATCTAAATTTGAGAATGAAAATCTACATTTTTAAAGCCAAAATGTATACATACTATGTATGTATAATTATTTTATGATGTCTTTTAGATTTTTTTTTTTGCTATATTTCACGAAATAGTGAACATTTTGCGAGATCGGATTAAAAAAAAATCCAAGATGTAACGGAGCGAAAGGAGAACCGCGATATAGAGAATGAACAATGTAAAAAATTTCACATGTTTGTTAATTTGTGAGTAAGTCACACTTTTGGCTGGTCTGACGTTAATTATGCATTATTTGGCTGGTGCGACTTATAGACCAGAAAAATCGCCTACATGCATTGATTTTTAAACATTTTACGTTACTTTACTCTTCCTGCATGTTTTTTTATAGTTATATATTATTCTATACTATTCCATATTTCCATTATTATTATTTATTTATAGATTTTTTTAGAAGGTTTCTAGCATGTCACTGTTGATGCTTCTCATTTATCTAAGGAAAACCCTATAAACCATGGTCCTCATTGGCCATTCCTTCTCTATGTGTTATGTATAGTTATAGTTATATATATAGTTATATATATATATATATATATATATATGTATATATATATTATATATATTATTATATATATTATAATATACTATGATTTGCACACTAAAAATAAGTTGTTTTTTTTACCTTAATCTAGATTAATAGATAAAACTAGAGAATGATGGACCACATGTATATTAGTGTGTGTGTGTGCGTTTGTTCTACGTATTTAATTTTTAGAAGAAAATGTCAAGCACCGACCATACTTTGGGTGGGGGTTAGAGGAGAGCACAGAGAAATAAAAATGATGGATGGCTGCTTTCTGTCTTGGGCAGCTATTTAGTGCTAAGCCATAAAGCTGTCCAGGGAATGAACAGATTTTGATCTAATGAGCAGAAAGGCAAGCCGTTAAAGTGGTGCGATGTGCTCAGCACTTCTTTCAAATGAAATAGTACCATTTCTCCTCATTGAAATTCAAGGCTTCGTGTAGCATACAGCAATAAAGCTGACACCAGAGAGAAAAAGAAAGGTGGATCGGTGGTCGGGAGTGTTGCTCTGTTCAGAGGCTAACTTTACCATTAGGCTAGGGTTATGCAACTGCCCTGGGCGGCCAAACTTCTCAATGCTCCCATGGTTCACCGATAAACTTACTGTCCAACTTTTTCGGTTTAAATTTAATGTATTCTTAAAAATAAACAGACAGACAGTTCTTCTATCTGTTTATTTTCAAGAATACATGCACCGATGGTGTCATAAGATGATACCATTGATGGTGCCAAACAGGGAAGAGATACTTTAGTAATACCTCCCACTATCATTCTAGGGGAGGGTAGGATGCAGGATAACAATTTATACGTCCTATACCAGGTGTAGGCAAACCTTTTATGTGGCCAAAATTGGTCCTAAAATATGCCAGGGGGGCAGGGGGGGGGGGGATAAATTACATTTAAGTCAAGCATAAAGGCTAAAATGCTAATGCAATAAAATGTGGGTATTGCAGGGAAAGGCAGAAGTATAATCACAATACAAACCAATTATAATTTGGACAAGTTTGGCGGGCTTTTTAATAAAGCTGAATGGGCCACATCCGGCCCCCGGGCCTTAGTTTGCCCATGTCTGGTCTATACCATATACAGAAACATAGGAATAGTTTCTGCTTTGTGAACGGCCAACCACAGTACCTAACAACAGCTAACTGACAATCAACAGAACGTGCAGGTGGCACTGCAGGAAAAAAACTGCTAACAAGAGTTTGGTAAAAAATAGTGATAGTTAATAAGTGAAAATACAACCTATTCTGCAATACTGGCTCTCCATTACACCTGCCTTCATGTATTTATATTTAATGAAATATAATTTTACATTTCACTTCCAAAATTCATCAAGCTGGCAAGATGGAATTTGGCTCTGGTGACCCTAGGTCTGAAAAAAAAACAAAAAAAACCCCAACTAGCTCATGTCATATTGTTAATCTTTTCGACCTGGGTATGTTTGGTGGGATTATGATGTCATATTGTTAATCTTTTCGAACTGGGTATGTTTGGTGGGATTATGATGTTTTGCCATATACAACAGTACTACAAATACTGATCTTGGTGCTTCTTACCGGCATAGAGTTCAGGGCCATAGACAGCTCCTAGCACTGGGTTCAGCTTCCAGCCTGAAAATCCAGAAAACGTTAAAAACCTCACTCAATAGATAACATGAAAAAATTCTTCTCACTTGGACAGAACATTTTCTCACTTCATTATGAATACTATATAATTACCGTTTGTGTAAGCACTGGCCATTTTTTTGTTCGTCATCACTCGTGCTGTTGCATTGTTCACCTGGTGACAATTGACAAAAATCACCAATCAACACCAACAATTATTATATTTTTTGGCTGGGATTTGCCACAAAAGAAGACACTAAAAGATTAGTAAATGCAAATTGTAAAATGTTTTGGTTTTTTTTTCCCCAGACACAAATTTTGCGATCATTCCAAAATAAGTTGAGACAGAGGGGAAAAAAAGACTAAGAAGGTCAACGCAAATACATTTCTGGAAAGTTTAGCCTCTGCCCAAAAATTTGACGTCTGTAGGCAGGGAATGGTCATGGATCACCACACAGCCCTTATCTTCAGAATTTGAAAACAAATGTTTCTACATACAACAAAAACAAATGGTTTAGCCCTAGCATCATTTTTAGTTAATAAAGATACTAATAATTATTGGTATTAAATATAGAAATATGTCGTTTCATGTGATCTTACTTTATCAATTAAAGGCTCATAAGGCGGCACTTTAAACGGTGAGGTTTTGCATCAGTTGCCAAGTCATGGAGGATCTGCATATATTTAAGGAAGGAACCATCTATGTAGAATTTTAGACATACAGTATGAAGGTATTTTTTTTTTTCAGTAAAACTCACACATTTCTCAGAAGCACAATGCTAATTGCTTTTGTAAATAAGTGCTTTGTCAGCAGCTCAGATTTGTCTACGATTAAATGCAAATCCTTTAGGATCTGTACGAAGAGTTTCCACTTATTGAACGCTAAAAGCTATAATTACTTTATTTAAAAGTAAAAGAACGGTCTTCGGTTTGGGCAGCACACATCTGTTTCACGTTTCTATTTTTTTACTGTTACTATTGCTCCGTCTGTGTTTATTTAGTTTGTATTTTTATATTCAACGGCTGTCTAGGTTGGGGTTTTATGGTTTGGTTTCTCTTCTGTTTATGAAGATTTCTTGTTAAATTCCAATAAAAATACAGTAGAATATTACATCTCACAGTTGAAAAAAAAATGAAAAAAATGTAATACAAAATTACATTTTTGATATTGGAGGTAGACGTACTGCCTAACACAGGCATGGACAAACTACAGCCCGCGGGCCGGATGTGGCCCATTTGACTTTTTAATCCGGCCCACCAAACTTGACCAAATGATGTTATTATTTTTTATTAGCATTATGCTGTACTTTCCACAATGCAAACATTTTCTCATTAAATTGTTTGTTCTGCTGAAAATAACTTTTCCTGAAATTAATGATTATTAGCATTATACTGCACTTTCCACAATGCCAACATTTCATTAAATTATTTGTTCTAGTGAAAATAACTTTTCCTGAAATTAATGAAAAAAAAAAAAAAAAAAAAGAATGAGCCATAGCTCTGTCACAACCTTTTTGGAAGGGTGTTTTAAGTACCAAAACCTTTTTGGAAGGGTGTTTTAAGTACACGAACATGAAATAAATACCTGCTTTTAAAACAACCTTCAAAACAATTACAACATCAGATATGTCGAATGGGTGTAAAATGGTGTAAAGTCAGGTGAGATGTAGGTAGTGATGAACAGTTTTTTGGGAGTGAAGGAGTTGTAAAATAAAACATTCCAAATACATTCAGCATTTCAGTAAGGACACGTTGTGAAGGTTGGTGGTTCGTTCGTTTTAAGAACAAAACATTTTTTTGGGGTTCCTTATGCAGGTCCAATGGTGGTGGTGGAGAATACAGTACATGGGAGTCGGAGAGGCTAGAGCCATATTTCCTTGACCAAGGGGAGAATATAGAAATGATTTCAGCCTATGTTGACTATCAAGAGATGAGGGGGAAACCCAAACGGTACATAATACGTTGACTATCAAGAGGGGGAAACCCAAACGGTACATAATACGTCCTATAGTAAAGGCTGAAAACAAGTCAGGTGACTGTTCTGGTGTCATATCTCGGGTGGGTCAAAAGCAGCAAAGTGATTACTTCTCCTTGTGGAAAAGTAGCAGCCGATATTGTAATCCCTGAAAACCGCGACAGTTTTTTTTGACAATCACGACATACAACAGCTGATTGGACGTCAGTGAAGAAATATTTTGTTGTCGTCGCGGCTCTAACAGTAACTGGATTGCACCATCTATTGGAGACGACGCGGGCAGTGGAGGAAAAGGGGGAAAATGAAGTTGTCCAATGACAATGTAATTTCATGATATCATTTGGACAACTTAGGCAGGCCGGTGTTTTGTCGAATTTATATGCCCGTATACAAATCTGAAAGCTAAAGCAATCCATTTATAGTACTAAACACTGTATACTTTTTGGTGGGGGAATTCTACCTATCAGATTAATATATTTATAGTCTAATACACGGTATACAAATCTGATCAGTACTACCTATCGGATTTGTACACTCCGTATGACGATATGGATACGTCCAAATCAAATCCGACAAATTTGATAAATTTGTACAAATTTGATACAATCCCACAAATTTGATACAAATCCGACAGGAAATTCTACCTATCTGATTTGTATGCCCATATACTGATTTTATGGGCGGGGAGAAGTGATCACGTATTCTAGTGATTTTTCTTTTGTGGGCAAGCGCAAAGCATACAAATACGACAGGGAATACAAATCCAACTGGACAATAGATTGGGATGGGCCATATTTAGACCCCAAACTGTAGTTTGCCCGTGCCTGATCTAGAATAAATACGTTTATAGAGGTTGTCGTTAGAAACGTGCCTTTTGGTTTGTCTTTTTTAGTTTAGTTGTTGAATGATTTCGTTTTTACATAAAACTCAACTCAAACACTTTTTTGAAGTGCGTTACCAAATTATAGGTTTTGGTCTGGAAATACAGCAAGTACATTCTACGAGGAGAAATCACTAGAGTTACTCTTCATGGTTTTTCTCACAAGCACTGCCCAAACGATAGTCATGACGTATTCATGCGTTTTATTCTGCATTGTCAGGTCAAAAATGGACATACTGTATGATGTGTTGCAGGCATATGTGGACATTCAACATCATCACACACACGCATACTCAAACCGACACACACCCATGCATACATACACACACTGTTTGTTAAATATTATCTAAATATGAACGTTTCAATTATAGTAAAATGAAACAATCAAATGGGAGTAAAAAGTAAAAAAAAATAAAAAAAATAAAAGTAACTGAAAGTCTGCCACGTAATGGATTATTTTTCGAAATAAAAGTATCCCAAAGGCTTAACGTGACCGAAGAAAAATAAATCTCAAATAAGAAAGAGAAAATAATACATAACTAAAAGTAATATTTTTTTATTACCAGGGAGAGATGCTAGAAATATAAAATAAGACAAACAGACTAGCTACAGAACGCAAAAACGTTTTTGCTAAAATTTTCATCTTATTCTCCTCTCAATGATAAGTCAGGAAAGGTTACTGTTATGTCAAAATAGGTAATAAAAACAAAAAGTAATTAAGTTACTGAACTATAAGTCGCACCAGCTAGCTAGAGTGCCCTCTAGTGGCTGTCAGTGTGAAAATAACGAACATGTAGATTTTCCGTGGTACAGGAGTAGCAGATACTAGTATACAACCCTAGAGGGCCCTCTAGCAGCTGTCAGTGTGAAAATAACAAACGTGAAATTATATATTGTAATATATAAGTCGCACCTGAGTATAAGTCGCAAACCCAGCCAAAGGATGAAGAAAAGTGTGACTTATAGTCCAGAAAATACTGTTAGCTAAATACTGTACGACAAAGAGATGTCTATTTAAAGATAAAAATGGTAAAAAATTTAATAATGCAGGTGAAGGTGTATGTGAAACAAGAAATGGCTATTTTTTTTAAATCCTGAAATATAAAAAATTGTTACTTAAACCCGATGGGAAAATATATATAATACAAAGCCAACATGAACCTTCAAAGCACCCTAATGGTTAAACACGTGTTAAGGACATTTTGTAACCTCGATGCACACACACACGCCCGTGTGCACACACACAAACAAATGCAAAGTTCGGTAGTCAGGCAGCAGGCAGCAGGCATGAATTGAAACAAGGAGGAAGATAATCAAAGCACCTCTATTTTGCGTCCCTCCACGATTGTACCATTTAATTTCTCTCGTGCATGATCAGCATCTGTGCTTGTTTCAAAAGTTACAAACCCAAAGCCCTGAGAGTGACACCACCGCCACGATGGTTAGCCGGCAGCAGATAAAAAGGAAGGAGAGTGGGGGAAAAAAGACCAGACACACAAACACAAACACACAAGAAATAGAAGGAAAAGGGAGGGAGGACAGAAAAGAAGAGAAAAAGCAGAAGGTGAGAAGAACTTCGTGACCGTCTTCGAGTCCATTGTGTGAGCAGCCAGGGTAATTAAAGGCAGTTAGTGAGTAAGGAAACAGCAAACACAGAGAGAAAAAAGAGAGAGAGAGAGAGAGAGAGCAGAGAGTGGTGACATGACCAGACACTGCAGCAGCAGCGGGAAACTTTCACATAATTGCATGTCATGCAGATACAGGAAGAGGGGAGACACTAAACACACAAGGTTGGAATATAGGCTAAGAGACTGGTTGCTGTGGAAGGAAAGGATGCTCCGGTCTGACCGTAGTGCAAATGGACACAGATTCGCAGAGATTGATTAGTATTACAAACTTTATACTTACAAACAAACAAACTACATATTTATCTATATATGTGTATATATATACAGTATATATATATATATATAAATATATATATATATTTGTATATATGTGTATATATATACAGTATATATATATATATATATAAATATATATATATTTGTATATATGTGTATATATATACAGTATATATATATATATATAAATATATATATATATTTGTATATATGTGTATATATATACAGTATATATATATATATAAATATATATATATATTTGTATATATGTGTATATATATATATAGATATAGATAGATAGATAGCTAGATAGATAGATAGATAGATAGACAGATAGATAGATAGATAGATAGACAGATAGATAGATAGATAGATAGGTAGATAGATAGATAGATAGATAGATAGACAGATAGACAGATAGATAGACAGGTAGATAGATAGATAGGTAGATAGATAGATAGATAGATAGACAGATAGATAGATAGATAGATAGGTAGATAGATAGATAGATAGATAGACAGATAGATAGATAGATAGATAGATAGATACATAGATAGATATAGATAGATAGATAGATGTAGATAGATAGATAGATAGATAGACAGATAGACAGATAGATAGATAGATAGATAGACAGATAGACAGATAGATAGACAGGTAGATAGATAGATAGGTAGATAGATAGATAGATAGATAGATATAGATCTATGAAGCTTTTTTGACCACAGTGCCCCAATCGGGGCGGAGCCATGCCTGCACAACCGGTTGGGCTCCCATATATGTTGTGCCCACGTAGCGGGGGCGTAAAAGTATTTAACAAACACAACAGCAATGTGAAACAAGCCGCTCCGATATAAACGTCTTTCTTTATTCACTCTTCGTTGCTTCTCTTCTCCCCTTTCTTTTTTTTTTTTTCACGAACCACGCTTCACTCGCAAACGCCGAAGTGAGCATGAACAATCGAGTACAGAAAAACAACACGTTTGCCGCAAGTCGACAAGGAACCTGTGAACAAACCAATATTTTCAAGACAACAGAGTACACTGCGTCATATGACAGCTGTCAAACAAAAATACCTTCAAATAAAAGTTAACACAAATCACTCTTTGCATTATCTGTTGCGCTTTTTTCATTTTATGGAAGAAGTAAGAACAATCACGGACAGGTTATCAAGTAATTCATATCATTCTATATGTTATCAAATAATAACATATAGAAATAATATATTTCCAAACAAGTATTTACGAAGAATTGTAACCATTTTTTATCACCCTTATATTATCATTACGTTACCCCCCCCCACAATCCCCCACAACAGTGAGCTTAGATTGTTAACCACATAAAATGGTTAAAGATTGTAATCTGTTCTTATTCTCTTAAAACATATTTGTTACATTTTCTATTACACAACATTCCTTTCTAATACTTAGGTTACAAATATAACCATGACATATGCAATCTACGGGCAAAGATTGTATACTCCTGTGCCACCTGGCCTGTGGTAGCAGGCAAGCTCAGCCCCGATTGGGGCAGTGTGGTCAAAAAGGTTTCAATTTGCTGTATATATATATTCAGACTTTCTGTATATATATATATATATATATATATATATATTCAGACATTCTGTATATATACATGCTACTCTTACACTGATTTGTACAGAGAAATAAATCATTATTACAGGTGCTCAATGGTATTTTAATTGTGTCCCCTAGGGGGCAGAAAATGATTGAGAAACACTCTTTTAACCCATCACCTTGCTAGCTAGCAGGCAACACTTAACTTCCACAACTGCCCCGCTGTATCGTTATCGGTTGATATCGGAATCGGAAATGAGGTGTTTGGACAATATCGGCATACCGGATATCAGCAAAAAGTTCATATCGGCCATTCCTAATAGTATCTTTTTGTGTACACTAATTTCCGGTCTTAAACGGGATTTGCGATACTGTTTTTAGTCCGTCCTCCTTTCTCGTATCTCCTCTGACTTACGAGAGGATATATGATGGCCGAACTGGTTTCTATTTATAAACCAACTTCAAGAGGTATGCACAAGGTAGACGGTTCACACGGCTGCTGTTGGTTAATTGCTGGGGCACCCATGTTACTCCTCGCATAAATAATGTAGCTACCTGTCCTTGGGGAAGCATAACACAAGGACCTGAGCACCAAATTAATCCATTGGACATCCGGCCAGCTGTTCTCATCCCTCATCGCCAAGATCTGTTTTTTTTCTATATAAAAATAATTATCTTACAAGAATGCAGTTATCATTTTTCAAAGGAGGCACATATTATCAGTGCAAATTGCCAATGCTTCACGGGAAGTAAGTTGCTTATTAATGGCCCACTAGGGGAAAGAGAAAGGCATCATGGATAATGTATTTGTAGGGAAGAAACAATAAATGCTTGTTATGACAGGAGAAGGCGTCGGAGCTCAATCTTGAATGAAGCAGCCACATTGCCCGGGTTTCTGCTGCTGTCAGATGATCTGCAGGTATGAATGGGAATCGATAGTATCCCTGCCTTAATGACCAGCAATGCCTTTGTTTTATATATGGACGGTGAAAGTAGTGGCCTCATTGAACAGCCAACTTGATTAGGAGTAGTGATGGGAGTATAGATTCTGTGGTATTGATCTATCGATACTCACAAGAGTAGTACTCTCACAAAATATCGATACTTCATTTATAAATGAAAAAAAGCCCTTGCGTCACTTCCACCGCTTTGTCATGTGCCCTTGATGCTGAGTTTCTCAATTGCAGAAACATGTATTACTGTAATTTCCAGACTATAAACCCCTACTTTTTTTTATTTAGTTTAAGGGGCTAACAAAGTTCATACCGCTAGCGTTCAATGACGTTTCTGGTAAGCTACTTGTGTTATACTAGTAGGGTATGTCTGTCTGTGAATGGCTGTGTGCGTATATGTGCATAGGGCAAGCGAGAGAGAGAGCAGTTTGAGTCCTGAAATGTTAAAGTGTGAGTTGGTTATACAGGAGTTGTTAAAACATTGTTTATGTTCTGTTGTGCTCGGTGTGGCTGATAATAAAGACCCCAACTTCCCTGTTTCTGTTTACCTCTGCTGCGGACAAGCACAAAGTGAAGGCAGTTAGCCCCGGAGCTAATGTTAGCTTTGACCCTAGAACAGATCAATAAGTCTCCCCTGTGCATTCCAGCTACAGTCGGGGCATGGAAGCAGGAAAGAGCTAACGTGTAACCAGCCGTGTTGTAGGCACTGTTCGGAAAAAAAGCCAAGACAACTGTAGGTTATAGAGAAATATGGCCTATATATTTTTTATTTAGTGGGTGCGGCTTATATTCAGCTGCGCTCAATAGTCCGGAAACTACGGTAATATGTGATGGAGTAGTTAGATCTAAAGAGTCTTTCAGTTACAACCGGCGCTTCAAGGGGAACTGTATTGCTGAGGTGGCCCCACAGTAAAAATTAGTTTTAGGGTAACTTACTACATACAGGCTTTTGTGCTGCAACAACCCCCAATAACGTCGAACTAATCCATTCATGTCACCTGATGGTCGGTGGTCAAGAGAGCAGAGACACCACGTGATGAATGGTAGCAAAATAAACTAGTTAGTTTAAAAATAAAGTTATGCAATTTGTTATAACTATAACTCGGTATTTGTCATGTGATTTATTGGGTTGATAAAAACAAAGAATCACACAGAATGCTACAATAGACTTGACGTTACGTTTAATGGAATAGGGAAGCAGGCAAGATACCCAAGGGCAGCACTAAAGAGATGTGGATCAGCTGAAGGACATTTATTTGAATACTTCAAAAACTAAAATACCAGGACCAGGCAGGAACACAAGACATAAGCATGAGCATGAACATTGGCATGAGTACAAAGCAGAAGCCCAAAGCCCGAACATGAAACAAATGGAACATTAACGATGAACATGTAGCAAATGGAACTGGAGTTGTGCGTAGGAAAAAAAAACGAGATGCCTCGTCACATCAAAATTCAAATTCTCTTACGTAAAGACTTGGAGCGCTTTGGGAGGTATGGTTTTAAGAGACTTCCATTTGGGTTCTCTTGATTGCCCAGATCATTGACAGCACACCAAGACCAATGTGTCATGCAGATGACATTTTGGTGTTTGGTAAGACCAAATTGAGCATGATGACAGGCTGTGTAGAGTCCTTAAGAAGTTGTTTAACCCCATGTGTTGTCCTTTGGGTCTAGGTGACCAATGGCCTTCGAGAGACAGATCTACCGAGAAACCTAGGTGACCCAATGGCTGATAATATGCCTTCGAGAGACAGATCTACCGAGAAATGACAGCGTGTGGGAACGTGGGACATGCAAAGAAAAGGTTGCTTTCGAGGTAGCGAAGAAAGAGCTTAGCTCTCCAGCCATTTTGGCTTAGTGCAGCTCAAAGAGAGAGAGAGAGACTCTTGTCTCAGTCAATGCATTATCCTATGGCTAATGCTGCGACAACCTGGTGGCCAAATCAGACCAGTGGTGTACCGATATGCACTCAAGGGAGACCTGGAGAACTAATCCCTATTCCGACGCCAATGTACAGAGAGATTCTACACAGAATCCACCATGAACATCATGGCATGACGGAGTGCTTTGCCAGAGCACAACAGTCCAGGTTTAGCAAGAGATACTAGAGAGGTATATAGCCAGTACTCAAGCTACTGCACTGCAGCCACACTCAAAACCCCTTAGGCCAGAAAGACGGTGGGAACCAATTTGGTTAGTCTACATATTCACATAAAAATAATAGATGGATCATTATTTCTGATCACATGTTTAAAATCCCTAGTAATAATAACATGGCATGGGGCTGCTGAGTTTGTAGCTCGCCCATTCCTGAACGGGGTACAGTTTCAATGTCTAGAGAGCAGAACTGGTCACAAAAATGTCTTGGGTTACACCACCTGCTACAAAGTACCCAGAAGAAAACTAGAAATACATAAAAAAAACCCCGATAGATTCATCCTGTTTTGAGTTCACAATCCAATCCAATACTCAAGACTCATCAAAACAGCCGTTTAGTAAAAATATAGTCAAAACAGCATAGCTATAAGTCATCCAAAAAAACACATTTCCAAATGCCTTTGAAGCTAATTATATTACAGTGCATTCTAGAGGATGCCATTATTTAAAAAAAAAAAATCCTATATTAGAACCAAGATGACTAGAAATCAGAACAGTACTCTGAAGAAGATAGATCACTGAAATCATCAGTTTCGGTCTGACAAACCTGCAGCGTAATTGTGGAGTACACCTATACCACCGTAGTAACTAAGGCTATAGATAAGGTTACAAAAAAGAAGGAAGAGGGAAGGAGGAGGAGAAAAACAGGTAGTAACTAAGGCTATAACTAAGGTTACAAAAAAGAGGGAAGAGGGAAGGAGGAGGAGAAAAACAAAGAGAGTCGTGGGAACAGGACCCAGGCTTTAAGCACCACAGCTGCTGTTAGCCAGTGATCACACTACACATGCCTTCATCAAGAAGAAGCACTACAAGTACATGCATTCCAGTTCCCTTACCTTGGACCCTCGCTCATTAAAGATAATCTCAACGTCTAAAATCTTTCCGAATTGCTGCAAAGAAAAAAAGAAAAAGGAGACAAGAAAAGGATTAGCCTGGCCATTTATGATCTGTGAATTTGTAATCAAAGATTTCAACTTGGGGGGCAAAGGGGGAAGTCTGGGTTTACGATGCCCAACCTACAGCATTCTGTGGTTACGTTGACATCTCCCATAAATGTATTAAGAAAGACTTGTTACATCACTTCAACTGGTAGGCAAGCAGAGCAGACAAATACCGTAACATCCAAACTATTGAATGCACCCGAATATAAGCCGCACCTACTACATTTAAAAAGAAAAACAATTGTACATACAGTGGAACTTCGAGATACGAGCGTCCTGACATAGGAGTATTCTGCGATACGAGCAAGCCTTCGAGCAAATCTTTGCTTTGAGATACAGGTGAAGATTTGAGGTGGCCGAGCACTCGGAGCAGCCCACCCCGCTTCACTCGTTCACTTCACTTGTTCGACTTCCATACACATCTCCCGCAAGTCTTCTGTATTGTGTTTGCGATATCTACGTGATATTATCTCTATTCTGTGTATTATTCTTCATAATTCGTTTGGGACGTCTCGATCCGATACTATGGTAGTGGTTACAATTTCAGGCACCTCGAGTTAGAAGCTTGGTCCTGGAACAGATTATGCTCAAATCTCAAGGTTCCACTGTGTGTATAAAATGTGAAGGACAACGGGAGGGTTAAAACAATGTATTCTGGTTGTTCACAACTGCATTGTTCACCTGGGACAAGAGACAAAAAGCAAAACAAATTGATTTTGCCCCCGAGGAACTCACCCCAAACATTTGCCTCAGGTCTGGATCCCGAAAGCGGAAGGGAATGTTGGAGACGTGTAATCTTTTGGGTTGCTGCTTCTCTGAAGAGTCCGAGTGCTGGAGCAGGAGATCTCGAGACCCCTCTGTTTGTGTTACGTCATCTGTCTGCCAAAGGGAAACACACACAAAATACTTCTTAATCACTACAAAAAACTGCACCTCACGGACTGTCCTTTCCTTAGTAGATAAAACCACTTCCTCTTTTTTTTATCACTTGACCAGATATATTTTTTTAACAAGACATTCACAGAAATCACATGCAATCAAATGAAGCAGTGGAAAAGAATGTTGCCGGAACATTAGCTTAGCTAACACCGAGCCACTCGAGGAAGAAGAAGAAGAAGAGGAAGAAGAAGA